AATACAATCTATCCAGGTTTTTATTTTATATTTTTTCCGTTTTTAAGAAATAATAAATACATTATACAAATCATACACAACGAACATTAACACAAAACATACAATAAATCATTTACACAATCATATATTTTTATACATCTAATCTGTACGTGCACCCACCACCACCCATGGGATATATATTCATCCTTAATGTTAATCATTCTTATATTGACCTCTTCTCCAAAATGCCAGTGTATGTTGGTTTTATTCCTTTTTCTTTGTAGGTTGTGCTTCTTCATCAGCTTCCCTATGTGGTCAGTGATTCCCTTGATATATGGGAAGAACACTTTTTGCTCATGGCTTCTTCTTGGTCTTGCAGCTCTTCTTATGTCTGGTGGAGTCTCTATTGGCTTGTAGAGCCCAGCTTAGGTGGTTCAGTTTAAACTCTAAAATCAAAACAGTAAATAAAGAACAACACTAAAAAACAGGGGCCAGCTAATCAGTCAGACCTTGAAGCTGCAAGGTCATTTAATGCTAATCAAGGTGGCCAATTGCAACATTCACACCTGCCTCAAACAGACAATAATTATTTCTCCCATCCTGGGCATCATTCTACAGATATATAATCCCTCCTTGCCTAGTTTCTAACAAACCTCACAACCTCTGAGGATGCCTGCCATAGATGCAGGCAAAACATCAGGAGAGAATGCTTCTGGAACATGGCTATGCAGCCTGGAAAACTCACAGCAACCCAATAATAAAATTCATTTATTTAAATAATAATAATAATAATAATAATAATAATAATAATAATAATAATAAGGTTCCATGTGCAAACTGAAAAATATTCCTCTCGTTTCTCTGTCGGTCTCAAGGAAGGGATAAAACTATGGCACAATCTAATCCATTTCTGTACAAGATGCTAATATGCCCGGCGTTCCACAGAGCACCATCTGCACAACATGAAAGAAAGACCCTTCCCCATTCTGTGCATTGGGGCCAAGATGATAAGTCACAAGACAATCCTTTTACGCGAGGGATGGGCTTTCAAACAAGGGACATCTGGCAATCCTACTGGGGAATTTCCCCTGCTGTCATTATCATCATCATCACCATCATCATCTTTTGTTCAGGCAGCAGTTGTGGCTTCCCATGTGCTGCGCAAAGAGATTGGCAGCCATGAGAATCCCTGGATTCGTTTCCCCCGTCTCTTTTTTCTTTTAAGGCTTCTGATAGATAGATAGATAGATAGATAGATAGATAGATAGATAGATAGATAGATAGATAGATAGATAGCAGGCAGGCTAGCTTGGGTACACAGGTTATTTGAAAAAAGTCGATTTTTATGTTTAGAAATATCAGTTTAATAATTTGCTTTTTATGATTGCTTCCATTAGAAAAAGCATAATCATAAAATCATAGAGCTGGAAGAGACCTCGTGGCCCATCCAGTCCAACCCCCTGTGAGGAAGCAGGAAAATTGCTTTCAAAGCACCCCCGACAGATAGCCATCCAGCCTCTGTTTAAAAGCCTCCAAAGAAGGAGCCTCAACCATGCTCCGGGCAGAGAGTTCCACTGTTGAACAGATCTCACAGCCAGGAAGTTTATTTATTTATTTATTTCAGGCACTTCTACCCCGCCCTTCTCAACCCCCAAGGGGGGACTCAGGGCGGCGTTCTTCCTTATGTTCAGATGGAATCGCCTTTCTTGCAGTTTGAAACCATAGTCTCCAGAGCAGCAGAAAACAAGCCTGCTCCCTCCTCCCTATGACTTCCTCTCATATATTTTATACATGGACGTGGGTGAACCACAACTCCCATATTCCAAGGTCAATCACCTCCAAACCCTGACAGTATTCCTAGTTGGCCATGTTGGGTGAGTCAAGTTTGGTTCAGATCTGTCGTTGGCTGGTTTCAGTACTCTCCGGAGGCGGGTGAACTACAACTCCCAGATTCCAAGGTCAATCACTCCCAAACCCCACCAGTGCTCACAGTTGACCATGTTGGATCTGTGTGCCAAGTATGATCCACATGTTGTCATTTGCGTTTGCAATACTCTTGGATGTAGGTGAACTACAACTCACCCAACTCAAAGTCAATTCCCCCCAAAACCACTCCTGTGTGTTCTGTTGGCCATGGGGTTTCTGTGTGCCAAGATTGGTCCAGATCCATTGTTGGTGAGAGTTACAGTGCTCCCTGAAAGTTGGGGCCTTCTTGGAAAATACATACAAACACTGGGATTTATTGGGCAGGTGCCCGGGTTATTAGAAGAAGGCATTGTTTGTTTTGGGATGTTAGGTAATATCACTTAAGTTTGGTGGAGCTCCCACTGGCACAATGAGTTAAAGCCTTGTGCTGGCAGGACTGCTGACGGAAAGGTCGGCAGGTCGAATCTGGGGAGCGGGGTGAGCTCCCATTGGTCACTTCCAGCTTCTCATACAGGAACATGATAGAAGCCTCCCACAGGATGGAAACACATCCGGATGTCCCCTGGGCAATGTCCTTGCAGACAGCTGATTCTCTCATATCAGAAGCAACTTGCAGTTTCTCAAGTTGCTCCTGACATTAAAAAAAACCCAAAACTTTAAATTTGATCCACATCCATTGTTGGCTGGGTTCCATGCTCTCTGGATGAGGGTGAACTACAACTCCTGGATTCCTAGGGCAATCACTTCCAAACCTTGACAGTATTTATTTATTTATTTATTTATTTACAGCATTTCTACCCTGCTTTTCTCACTCCCGCAGGGGGACTCAGAGCAGCTAACAAAGGCAACAATTCAATGCTGCAATAATTACAATAATAAAGCAAAATAAAATCATACAGTACAATACATTAAAACAGCATTAGTTATCCAATCATAAAGGCATTTCCATTGTAACAACCGTCTGGTCCAATTCACTGTTCTGGTGCCGTTAAATCCATTAGCCAAAAGCCTGGTTCTACAACCACGTCTTCAGTTTTCTTCTGAAAGAAAGGAGGGAGGCCGCTGATCTAATTTCGCTGGGGAGTGAATTCCACAGGCAGCGAGGTCACCACCAAGAAGACCCTGTCCATCATCCCCACCAGTCACGTTAGCGAAGCTGGTGGGACCGAAAGCAGGGCCTCCCCAGCAGATCTTAAGACTACGAGGCGGAATGTATTCGCACTTGGCCATGTTGGGTCTGTGTGCCAAGCTTGGTCCGGATCCATCGTTGGCTGAGTTTAGTGCTCTCTGGATACAACTCCCAAATTCCCTGGGCAATTGCCCCCAAACCCCGTCTGTATGCATAGTTGGCTCTGTTGGGTCTGTGCACCAAGTTTGGTCCAGATCTGACGTTGCCTCTGTTCAGTACTTTCTGGATGCAGGTGAACTACAACTCCTCAAACCAAGCTCAATTCCCACAAACCCCTGAGTATGTTCACTTGGTCATGGCGCTTCTCTGTGTCATGTTTGGTTCCGGTCAACTGTTGATGGGGGTCACTGTTTCACTGGATGAAGGTGAACTGCAACTCGCGAAATGAAGGTCAGTTCCCACAAACCCCTGCAGTATGTTCAGGTGATCATGGGGCTTCTGTGTGCCAAGTTTGGTCCAAGTCCATTGTCAGTGGGGGCCATTGTTTCTCTGGATGCAAGTGAACTACAACTCCCAAAAACAAGGTCAAGTCCCACAAAACCCAACACTGAGTTGTCTTGGGGCTTCTCTGTGCCAAGTTTGGTCCTGGTCCATTGTTGGTGGGGGGTCATTGTTCTTCTGAATGTAGGTGAACTACAACTCCCAAAATGAAGATCAATTCCCACAAATCCCTGCAGTATTTTCTGTTGGTCAAGGGGCTTCTCTGTGCCAAGTTTGGTCCTGGTCCATTTTCGGTGGGGGTCACCAGATGTAGGTGAACTATAACTCCCAAAACGAAGGCCAATTCCCACAAATCCCTGCAGTATGTTCAGTTGGTCATGGGGCTTCTCTGTGCCAAGTTTGGTCCTGGTCCATTGTCGGTGGGGGTCACTCTTTCTCTGGATGCAGGTGAACTATAACTCCTGTAAATCAAGGTCATTTCTATAAAAGATACATTAATCACACATTATGAAATGCACATTCATACACACACACACAGACATATCTATACATATACAGTCAGGTATGTCTGTCTGTTTGTACAAAAAGCTGTTGCTAGGTGACAATCCGGTGGTCTTTTACGATGTCACTGGCTTGGCCGTTGCTAGGTGAAGTGACCCTCTGTGATGACCTAAGATCAGTCGTTGCTAGGTGAAGTTGTCTTCCTCTACGTCACTGGGAAAGGAAAGGGGCCTGTGTGTATGGAGAGGCCAGAGGGAGAGCCCTGTTGCCATGGAGACGCCATGAGGAAGGAAGGAACTCCTCCTCCCCTTCCCAGCATGCTTTGTCTTATTTCACGCTCAGCGTCAGCGCACCAAGGCCGCGCGCTGCATGCCGGGACGAGTAGTCTATGGTCCCTCCCCTTCTCTCTCTCTCTCTGTCTCTGCCTTCTCTCCCCGCTCACCAATCCTTCGCGGCTCGTGATTGGGCGCGTCAGCCTGAGAGGGCGGGATCAAACGTCTTCAGGCTGAGTGACATTTCCCAGGCCTTTCCCTTCTCTCTCGCTTTTTCCCCGCCCGCCGTTCCTGAGTGGAGGAACCCCCTGAGGAGGCGGGAAGTAGAAAAAAAAAACACAAGGAAAAGCGGACTGACTGATATGCGGAGCAGCCTATAAGAGGGCCGTTCTTCCTTGCGTTTTCCCCGCCCGCCGCTTGTCATTGGAGGCGCACTTGAGGAGGCGCGAGAGAGAACAAACACAAGGAAGGATGGGATGACTGACGTGCAGGCGAGCCTATGGAAGTGCCGCTCTCCTTTACTTTTTCCACGCCTGCCGCTCCTGATTGGATGGGGCACCTGTGGAGGCTGGAGAGAGTAAAAATATACAAGGTAGGGCGGTTTGACTGACGTGCGGGGGAACCTGTGGGAGGGCGACTCTCGCTTGCATTTCCCTGCCCACCGCTCATCATTGCTGATTGACGTGTAGGGAAGCCTATGGGAGGACGCCGTAGCCGCTGCGTTGGCTCGTTCCTGCAGGAGCCGAGCGCGGCCGACTCAGAGAAGAAGGAGGAGGAAGCAGGAAGGAAACAGGCAGGCGGGCAGGTGAGGCCTAGCCGGGAGGCGATTGACATCTGTCGGGAGGGTTCTGATCGTGACCTCGCCGAATGGGCCCCGGCCCGGGTCTTTTCTTATTTATTTATTCAGGCAGGCCATGCTGGGTGGGTTTTTGGTTTAGTTTTGAATGTGGATTTTAAGGGGTTTTTAAAAATGTAATGCCAATGATAATTAAACCTGATATGAATGCTTGTAGATTTTATTAAAATTATATTGAAAGATCTTCAAGGAAATAATAATTTATAATGGCCAAAGAGATACAGGGAATTTAAGAATAATTATAATGATGATGATAATCTATAACATAATAATAATAATAATAATAATAATAATAATGACCCTTGGGGTTGTAAGAGGTTGCCAAAACCAGAAATACAAGGAACATAATAAAAATGATGTTATTAATCTATAAATATTATATATTTGTAATATATGATATTGCAATAATTATAATAAGAATAAGCCTAAGAGTAAGCATAATGGCGAGATGTAAGTGATTGCCAAAAGCAGAGCTACAGGGAATATTATAATAATATAATAATAGTAATATTCCAGGTTAATAGTATATTACATAATAATAATAATCGCACTAATGGCCATTGAGATCTCTTCCTTGGGGATAAGAGATTGCCAAAAGCAGAGCTACAGGGAATAGAATAATAATAGTAGTAGAAATAATAATAGTAATAATGGCCATTGGGGTCTCTTCCTTGGGATTCAAAGAGATTGGCAAAAGCAGAGCTATAGGGAATATAATAATAATATATTATAATAATATAATAGTAATAATGGCCCTTGATGTCTCTTCCTTGGGATTGTAAGAGATTGCCAAAGAACTACAGAGAATGATGATGATGATAATAATAATAATAATGGCCGCCAGCATTTGGAAACAGTAAACATTGACAAAGTCACACTCTGTCACCTGCAAAAGGCCAGCTTACTTGGAGCTGTGCGCATTATTCGAAAATACATCACACAGTTCTAGACACTTGGGAAGTGTTCGACTTGTGATTTTTGATGCAAAATCCAGCATATATATCTCGTTTGCTGTGTTTTTGTGTCAGTAAAATAATAATAATAATAATAATAATAATAATAATAATAATAATAATGGCTGTTGTGGTCTCTTTCTTGGGGTTGTAGGAGGTTGCCAAAAGCAGATCAACAGGGTTAAACCGCTGTTGAATTAAAGGGAGTCAGGCTGGATTCGCTCTGCCATATAATCAAGTTCAACGCAGATAATAATCCTCAGAGACGGTTCTAGAGATGGGATTATATGGCAGTGTAACTGGAGCTTCACTTGTCAGCATAGGGTGACCCCATGGATTTCATATGGTTTTCCTAAGCAAGGAGGAATGCTTGTGTTGCAGGTTCCTGCATGGAAGAATAACCTGATTGGGTGGCCCTTAAGATCCCTTCCAACTCTATTGATTCTGAGATACTGCTAAAAACAGAGCTACGGTTTATTAAACCACCGTTGAATTAAAGGAAGTTCAAATGCATTTAGAGATCACTGTCATACCTCTCAACAAGATTGATTCTTTTAAAGATTCAGATTGCAGGAATATATAGTAATAATAATAATAATAACAATAATAACTATATTTATATTCCTCTCTATCTCCCCGGAGGGACTCAGAAAGAGAGGATTCCACCTAAATATAGAATCATAGAGTTGGAAGAGACCACATGGACCATCTAGTCCAACCCCCTAAGAGGTTGGTCATCCGTTGGGAATGTTTTGATTGTGTATTGCTACTTGACACAATAAGATTGGGCTGAATGGCCCTTGGGGTTATTTTCAATGCTAGGATTCTAAGATAATTGCTAAAAAAAACAAGAGCTACAGGGTTAAACCACCTTTTGAATTAAAGGGAGTTCAAATGTACCTCGATCATTGTTTCCCATCCCTTCCAACAATATTGATATTTTTTTATTTTGGAAATATTCAGATTGCAAGAAAAGAGGATCCCACCTAAAAATCAGGAAGAACGTGTAATATGCCAGTCCAGTGGAGTCTCCTTCTCTGGAGGTCTTTAAATAGAGGCTTGATGCCCATCTGTTGGGAGTGTTTGAATTATACATTTCCTGCAGGGCAGAATAAGCTTGGACTGGATGACCCATTTCTTCCTACTCTAGGATCCTAAGATATTGCTAAAAACAGAGCTACTGAATTAAATCACAGTTGAATTAAAGGGAGTTCAAATGCACTTCAGTGGTGGCTGAATTAAAGTTAGATCAACTGTACTTCAATCCTTGCTTTCAGTCCTCTTGGTCCTAGTCTCTTCCAACTCTTGTGTTTCTATGCATAAGAGTGCTCACTCATTAAGGCCCCATTTACACTGACCATTTAATGCTATCTTCAAACTCTGGGCATCCAAAAACAAACTCCCACAGAAGTGTGTGAGAGAAAGTCCTGAATGTGCATTAGTGCTCTGTGGTTTGTGACATCTCCTCCGGACTTCAAACTGGTCCTAGGATTTCCGATGCAATACTCTGCACCGTGAAACTACTTTCTTGAGTACTTGATTGAAAACTGCATAAAATGGCCAGTATAGATGGAGTCAAAGCGTCCAGGTTTGGCTGCCAAATAAGGGATCTGAGCCCCTAGTGCCATAACTTTTGTATGGTTGTGCATGTTGTGCCTCTGGGAAGCACCTTGTAAGCAAAAACAACTTACAAATCAGGAAGTCCCAGGTAATGATCTGGCCTCTCCCATAAATAAACCCAGTATCTGGTTTTAGCTAAGCTGCACTCTCTCCTCAGTCTCCCTCTGCATCACAGGGAGGGAATAATAATCTCACTTGCCATGCAATCAGCTGTGATATACATATCATTTTGGAAGTGTTGCTTAATAAGTGTTAAGTAACATTGTTAAACTGCTATTCTTCCCCCCTTCTCTTATATCGTGCATGCAGTATTTCTCTCTTTTTCTCTTGCTTGTTCCCTTTGGTACCTTTTTTAGTGCCAGGCACTGTGAAACCTAATTCTGGCATACTTTCCTTATCCAGCACCTACAGAATCGTAGTGAGTTCTCTGTCAGTGTGACACTAGATTGCATCTGGATTTATGCTAGCAATTGCATAGGTTATGATAAACATTAAGAGGCCAGAAAGGGAAAATCTTCAAGCCATCCTTTCTGGTTATACTAGAAGGAATTAGCCAGCGGAAACGCCATCTCTAATGCTCTCGCTCAGTGTCATTTTCTCTTTCCTCCTCCCTTTCTAAAGCTTGGCTCTGATGGCTAGCGTCTCGGAGGTCACTCTGGAATGGCATTTCTCTCCTGACTCTCTCTTTCAGTCTTAGTCCACACACCTTTGGTGCAAGAGCCCTTCACCTTCCTCCTTTTCTGTTCCTGGGCTTCACTGTGGCATGATGCATACAAGTTCACACCCTTCTGCTCTTTGTTAATTAATCTTGAGCCACCGCCTGTTCCTTGTAGTTGCAGTAGCTGACATGATTTACAATTTTGCAGCTCTCAGTAAGTCTGCACTGAAGGGTGGGGAAACATCAGCCTTTTTAAGCACGGTTGTTTGAAAGAGTTTCTTGAGAGTGCTTGACAGAATGTGTACGTACACAATGGTTGTCCCTTCAATAGCCACACCTTTAGGGAGTATCCTGATCTAATTCAAGTAAGAGCTTTGAGTGGATTGTAAAGAAAGGGACCTAGCTGTACCTGTATGGGATTTTTGGTAGAATGGAGAAATGGAAATGAAAATACCCATATTGCTGGTTTGCCTTATTAATTATTATCCTTCATTGATCTGGAATGTTAAAAAAGGGCACAGCTGATTTCCTAATGTACAGGATTCCATGAAGTGAGAGGTAGGACTAAGGGGAAATATAGAAAAATTGACATCTGCTTATATGTAAGTCACTTCTGGTGTGAGAGAATTGGCCGTCTGCACGGACGTTGCCCAGGAGACGCCCGGCTGTTTTTGATGTTTTATCATCCTTTTGGGAGGCTTCTCTCATGCCCCTGCAAGGGGAGCTGGTGGAGCTGACAGGGAGCGCAACCTGCTCTCCCGATATTCAAACCTCCGACCTGTCGGTTATCAGTCCTGCCGGCACATGGGTTTAACCCAGGGTGCCAAATACTGCAAGAGGAGACAGATATGTTAATTCAGAAATGATTGTTTCCTTGTCCCTTGCCTGTACTCAGCACGTGGAATTGTCATCCACAAGATCTGGAAAGACACCAGGTTGCTTGCCAATCAGAAGACACTTCCGAGGCTAGGTGTACCCATGACAACCATGGGGGTGAATGGACTTACCTGTAATCATTGACATGCACCCCATATGTGCATACAGATGTTTGCTTTTTCCTCTAATTGATTAGCCATTGTACTAAAATTTCAGTTGTATTTATCAGTTTAGAGAATTTAAAACTCTGCATTTCCCACTTTCTAAAGCATTTGGCAGAAAATGCACAGTACGTAATACACCTTTAATTTTTCTTCAGGAACCCAGCATATTTTGATGCAAGATTACTCACAAAGAATGGAGAACCTGCTGTGAGAAGGATCGTTCTGCTTTGCTTTTTGCCTGCCTTTGGAAAGACGTAGCTGTGCTAATTCTCCCAAGACCGTCTCTGAAAGTTTGACATTTTGGGCACCTTTCCATCTGTCTGTGTGGTTAATATGCAGATTGCACTTCTTCACTAATGAGAGGGAGAATGGGAACCCAGGGTAGCCCTGTGAAGAGCTATGATTATCTGCTCAAGTTTTTGTTGGTGGGAGACAGTGATGTGGGCAAAGGAGAAATCCTGGAGAGCCTTCAAGATGGAGCATCAGAATCGCCATATGCCTATAGCAACGGTAAGCCTTTGCAACAAAAGTAATTAAACCAATGTCTTGCATTAATTATAGGTGTTGATTCCCTCGATTGTAGAATATCATGTATAGCATGTCATAAAGCAAGTTGTTCTCACATACCTTGAAAAATAACTTTGTGGAAATTAGGATAAAAAAAATAATTCCAGCTCCTTTAGGGTTGCTGTTTTGCTGTATCTTGGGTTTCTGTTTTATGGATTGGGGATTAAATAATAACAATATAAGTGTTACATTACTGTGAATGCAAAGTTGTGTGTCTTCGTTCCTAAAATCCACTGAAAAGCAGTTTCTCAATATTTGTAGGATAAATGTTTGAATAAGCGTTGCGGTGTACTTTGAGGTGTTTGGTCAGTATACTAGATCTTCCTATGGTAAGGAATATGACTTAGAAGCCCTGCATTTTATATTTTCTGATTTCCAGTAGTGTAGAAAGAGGAGTGAGGTACTATAATTTAGAATTTCATGTTAAATTCCAAAGATTCGCTCAACCAGATTAAATCAAAGTGTCTAATTTGGGCACAAGGAATGGAGTGCCAAGTCTTGCTCTTTTCTGCATGGATACAGTCCCCCTTTTTAATGTAAAGCTGACAGGCCATTAACAGTTGTGTCACAAGGCTATAATTAAGAGCCAAGATGTATCACCAAGACGTGTCTTTCACGGTAGTTAAAGTGCAACGCCGCCTAGCAGGGTCTGTGTCCTGTGGTGATTCTGCAATCTGTCATCTCTCTAACCATCTTAAACTTGGAATCATGACTCTAGGGGCTTGACGACAGAAGGCATGTTCTTGCACTAATTTTGGTTCTGAGGCTTGAAGCACTTGGCACCTGGTGCCTACTTTGAAAGCAAAACTCACTGAGGTCCAAACTATACATTATAGAACCAGTGAGCTAGACACAGCAAGATGGTGTGAGTGTTGACTTTGTACATTATATCACCATGGGCTCTTGTTTCCCTGTTCCAATGTGGTGTTTTTTCCCTAGTCAAGCTCCTTTCTGGTATTGTAAGCTGAAGAGAAAAACACGCAGAAAAGCAAGTAAAAAAAAAAAAAACAGAGTTAACTAGTAGGAGGAATCAGCATCCATGTGCCTCTCTTGCTCTAAATATAAAATCACCCCATCCATTAGATCTACATTTAAACAGTGGCTCTGTTGTCATTTCTTGAAGTTTAAGCTTGTGAATTTGATAGTGATTTGATTTCTAGGGACTCACAACCTTTGCTGACCATTACTACAAAAGTATTATTATTATTATTATTATTATTATTATTATTATTATTATATCCCGTTTTATCTCCCCAAAGGGGACTCAAAGTAGCTGTCTAGGGGCCCTTCCAGACAGGCCCTATATCCCAGGATCTAATCCTAGATTTTCTGTTTATCCCAGATAATTTGGCAGTGGAGACTCATACAATCCAGTTTCAAGCAGAAAACATGGGCTCAGATTCTGGACTATAGGGCCTGTCTGGAAGGGCGCTAATACTGTCTTTGGAAGTAAAGGCATGAGAGAAGAAGGCAGGATTGTGTTGGCTTGCATTTAGTTGGGAGTGAGGGCAAAACCGAATGCTAGCGCCATGAAACATTTCTAGATTACAGAGATTACTTTTTTTCTTAAAGGTACAAGCATCCTCCTGTTAATAAGATCTTTTGACAAAGACAGTAACATTTATGCAGATTGTATAAAATCAAAATCAACTAGAAAGATCACCAGTCAAGTCAATGGCATTAAAATCGGAAAGAACAAAAGGCTTGTCTCATAAAAATATTCTTTACAAGCCTTTAAAAATGGATTTAATGTCCTACTTTGAGTAGGAACTGGGAACCTGCAGCTTCTTTGTAATTCAGTGATTCCCAACCTGTGGTCCGCAAGAATGAAAATATGGCCCATGGCCTCACCATTACTACCCTGTTGCCTCAAAACTATGTGGCAACAAGAGTGATTGGTCTTGTGAAACCCTTTTATACTTCCGAGGCAACGGGAATGTTGGGAAGAGAGGCTGACTACTGGATGGCATATGTTCTGTATCAAAAACTAGAGCTGATGTGGTCTATCTAATGCAGTTTTCTGAATCAGCATCCCAAGTAACCAAATTGAATCCGAAATTGACCAAAAACTGATTTGTAACCCTCTTGGTACTAATGTTGAAGACTGGTCCCTGGTCAAAGTGGTCCCTGGTCAAACAAAAGGTTGGGGACCACTGCTATAATTCAACAGGAGGTGTTCTACTTTCAATTCAGGTATATTTTACTACTGATTCATCAGGAATTGGAATGCATTGTCAGTTGGCAAATTTCTTACCTCTTTAAGTGCATACAGCTCTTTCTCCTCTAACACAAACAATTACTTAAATGCCCTTATCTCCTCATAATGTTTTCCTCAGTAGTTGCTATTTAAAGATGTGTGCCCAGCGCCTGACTGGTTGCTTTTAGGGGTGTGGTATTGGCTCAGTGCTTAGGGAAATGCTCTTGATAATAATAGTTAATGCTCATATTTTGGAAATATCCAAAAAACTAATTTGTTTTGGGTGACAGTTGTGTTTGTATGTAACAATGCCACATTCTGTTCTACGGATTTGAGCCTCTTAACTTCACGTTGTCAGTCCTTCACTGGAGCTTAAATTCTTGATGCAACTGAATCATACTCACCTGAATGTGTGAAACACATTTGGACATGTCATCAGTATATGTGTATTCTTATAAATATGTTGATGGCTACTGATTTAAGTTGTTTTAAAAGAGCGTTGGAGAAATTCCTGAAGGATATGGTTATGGACTGCTGAACAAAGGCTATATTCTGTATCCAGTCATTTGCTAAAACAGCAGTGGCAAGAGAGGACATTGCCCTTATACCCAGTTTTGGGGTTTCCCAGAGATTTTGGGTTGCTGGGCAAAATATGCTAGTGACCTAATAAGATAACTGATTTGTACTTATTAGCTGCTAACAAAATGAAGTTCAACTGAGACAAATACAAGATACTCTACTTAGGCAGAAAAAAATGAAACACAGAGATACAGAATGGGGGATGCCTGGCTTAATAGCAATACATGTGAAAAAGACCTTGGAGTCCTCATGGACAGGAAGGTGAACAAGAGCTAACAATGTCATGCAGCAGCTAAAAAAGCCAATGGGATTTTGGCCTGCGTAAATAGGAGTCTAGGAACCCCAGGTTTCGGCGGTGACCAGGGGAGCATTTGCACAATTAAAACTTGTGCGCCAGCTGCGCCCGTACCTTGGGAAGTCTGACTTGGCCACGGTAGTCCACGCTCTGGTTACATCCCGTATAGACTACTGCAACGCTCTCTACGTGGGGTTGCCTTTGAAGACTGCTCGGAAGCTTCAAATGGTCCAGCGCTTGGCAGCCAGGTTGCTAACAGGAGCGGCACTCAGGGAGCACACAACTCCTCTGTTGCGCCAGCTCCACTGGCTGCCAGTTTGCTACCAGGCTCAATTCAAAGTGCTGGCTTTAGCCTATAAAGCCCTAAACGGTTCCGGCCCAGCCTACCTATCCAAACGCATCTCTTCCTACGAACCCTCCAGGAAGTTAAGATCATCTGAGGAGGCCCTGCTCTCGATCCCGTCTGCTTCGCAAGCACGCTTGGCGGGGACGAGGGACAGGGCCTTCTCTGTGGTGGCCCCTCGGCTGTGGAACTCCCTGCCTAGGGATATTAGATCAGCCCCCTCCCTCCTGATTTTTCGGAAGAAAGTAAAAACCTGGCTCTTCGAGCAAGCCTTCGGAACTCCGGAATAGATAGTCAAGCTTGAGATGGAGAATGACCCAGGAAAGGCCAAGACGATGAAACGGATGAGGATTGGAATGAGAGGATATAGCTCTTTTTTAAAATTGTTATTGCACTGTCTTTTTTTGTCTAAATTCACTTAATTGTTTTTTGCTGTTGTATTGTATTGATGGCATCGAATTGTGCCGATGTAGACCGCCCTGAGTCGCCTGCGGGCTGATAGGGGCAGGATATAAGTGATGTAAATAAATAAATAAATAAATAGTGTCTAGATCCAGGGAAGTCAGCTACCCCTCTGTTCTGACTTAGATCACACCCGGAATCACACTGTGTCCAATTCTGGGCACCGCAGTTGCAGGAAGATGTTGACTCTTAAGTTGCATTGTGTCCAGAGGTGGGTGACTAAAATGATCGAGGGTCTGGAGAATAAACCCTATGAGGAGCGGCTTAAAGAGGTGGGCATGTTTAGCCTGCAGATGAGAAGGCTGAGAGGAGACATGATGAGGACCATGTATCAAGATGTGAGGGGAAGTCATAGAAAGGAGGAAGCAAGCTTGTTTTCTGCTGCTCTGGAGACTAGCACACGGAACAATGTCTTCAGACTGCAGAAAAGGAGATTCCACCTCTGGAACTCTCTTCCCCGGAGTGTGATGGGGGCTCCTTCTCTGGAGGCTTTTAAGCAGAGGCTGGATGGCCATCTGTTGGGGGTGCATTGAATGCAATTTTCCTGCTTCTTGGCAGAAATGGGGTTGGACTGGATGACCCACCAGGTCTCTTCCAACTCTATGGTTCTATTTATTGATTTTCAGTTAGTCTTTCTGTCTGATCAGTGCTTCTGTCTTCGAATTGGAAGTCTGGTGGTGAAATTGTATATTTTGTTTTCTGACTTGAAGTAGTCCGTCATGCTTCCAAACCACAAAATTGAAACATCATGCCAGAGCTCTTGCGCAAAGCCCAGAAACTGCTAAACACATTCTATTCCCTATTGTAACCAGATGCTCTGTTACGCCATCTTTTGTAATCTTTCATATAGTTTGCTTTCCCCATTAAATAACTCCAATTTCAAGTCAATTGTGAGCATGTTTGGAGAATTGCATGCATGGAACTGATCACAGTCATATTGATGATCTATTTAGGAAAGGCAATACACTTTTTTTAAAAAGCATATCCTGACATCTTTCTACCTGCCTGCATTTGATATAAGGTTTTGTACGGAAACTAGGGTCCCTTCTACACTGCCCTGATATCCC